ACTCATTCATACTTTTGTAATTTCAAGCTCTTTTTGGTTTTTAAATATTTAAAAAGTGAAAATTTCTAAATTTATATTCAAAATATTGATAATGAAATATTTAAATTATTCAAAAATAATTTAACTAAGATAATATTACCATAATGGTTTTATGGGTTATCTATTATAAACTAATGAATCTATTCATTAGCATGTTTCTTATATTTACAACATTGTGAAAGTTACAAATAACAGTTTTTCACTTAATTTGGAGGATTAAATGAACAATTTTTCACTAATTTGGATGGTTGTAGCCATTTTTCATTAATTTAAAGGGTTAAAGTAACAGTTTTCATACTTTAAAAGAGTTATAAGTCAACTTATTACTAATTCAAGAAATTATAACTTATTTGGTTTGAAAGTTCAAAATAAGATTAAAACTAAAAAAATATTACTATTATAAAATTACAAGCAACAGTAATTTTTCTTAATTAAGTTACAAATGTGAACTTTATATACTTTACAAGTTACAAGAAGGTAATTTTGTTTATTTTGATATTTGTAAATGCAGTAGTTGTAACTTAGTTGCTTTGAAAATTCAAAGCAAGTAAGTTACAACTAAAGTAATGTAACAATATAAAGTTGCACAGTGGCAATTTTCTATATATTAAAAATTATTAGTAATGATGATTTTACACATTTTTTAAGATATAAAAAGACAACTTTTATCTTCTTATAGCTTACAAATGTTATTTGTTTTGGAAGTTCAAAGAAGTGTTATAGTAAAGTTACAAGCAAAAGCAAATTTCTTTGAATTAAAAATTACAAAAATATTTAATTTTACTTTGAAAGTTACAAATAATTGTAATTACCAGCAATATTACTTATTTAATAAGTTTAAAATAAGAAATATTCTTACTGGACAGTTACAAATGGCAACAGTTTTCATTTGAAATTAGAAGCAAGATTAACTTTTCATATTTTAAAGTCATTTTAGAATTTTTTTCCATGCAGCTAATGCAATAAAAAATCTAAAATTAGAAATCATACGCATAAAAAGTAATAATAATAAATGAGAAGTGAGAAGAAGAGTTATTTCTTTTCCTTTTCTATTTTAAGAATGTTCAAATATATGAAAGAGCATCAAACAATTTCAAAAAGAAAAAAGAAAAGAAAGAAAATGAATTTTTCGTCCTTTGTGTAAAGGATAATGGATATATAATTTTCCCGTAAAAATCCCCATGCAATTATTGTATCTTCAGTTTCCTCCTTGGGATGTGTCAGTTGTATTATTGGTACCATTGAAGCACATTTCACGCAATTACGGAAATATTTCTTGTCAACCATCTAACATATTACTTATTATGGTGTAGTGTGTGTGCCATTCTTCAAGATGGGTTGCTCGTTTCTCCTCGTTCTTTTGTGATATTAAACTCCTTTCATACCGTTGCACCTATTGGCCTTTGGATACTAATACCACTCACTTACTGGAAGTGCTCCAAGATTCTTTATCCATTCTAAGAGCACATTTCGGTAACTGTTCACATACAAATAGCCATTTTTAATATAAGAAATTTGTCTTTTTTTTTAGACGATTTAACATCTAAAACACTCCTCTTCTTTCTTTCGTGCTTATTTATTTACAGTATGTAATTTTGAACTAGAATTGTACAAGTTCAATGGTCTTGTTATTGAAGAGAGCAGCTGATAGATATAGTAATAAAACTACTTCCGACTGACTCATTCATTCATCCACTTATATACTGACTCATCATTAAACTTTTCAAGCAAATCTAGTAAAGTTATCAAACTTTTTTCATACGTCTGCATGTCTGTAATTTTATTTTAAACAGGGAAATCCTGTCTCCTTTCCTCATATATTATCAAAAATTGATATTTTGTCTGATAGTTACGTGTTAAGTAATAAAAGATATTTTTTTTGAAAAATTTTTTAGTTGTAATACTTATTTGTATAATTGTAAAAAATATATTTTACATGCTTTTAATACTCTTTGTTACTTTCAAAATCACTCACTAAAATCTGTGCGTTTTATATTTTTCTGTTATGACTTACAATTTTGCTGTTTCTTCCAATCTGTTACCAAAATATCGAGCAATATAATCTAAAAAATTCATTGCTAGAAATGGCTTTTTTATAATTTTTTAATGTCATTATCGTTATCATTATTGTTGATGAAGACTGATTCTTTCTTATCCATTGCCGTTATCCTTCATCTGTTAATCTAAAGAAATTATTAAATTAATTTTATATTAGAGAATGCGGCTAATGGCATTTTAAACAATCTTTTCATGTTATTGGTCCCTAAAAAATTCGTTTTTTAAGAGTCGAATGACGTAAATATTGTATAAGTTACATATGTAAATGATTCGATACTTTATTTTATTATTTAAAAAATAAAAAAAAATTAAATATTAAGTTTTAACAATTAGCTTTTTATTATATAAATATGGTTCTCATTAAATTATATTATACAATATGTTTCTATGTAACGTCTAAGAAAAATTAAAATAAAAAGTTAAAAAGAAATAAAATATAGAATTTCATATAGAATTAATAAAGTCGCTTTTATTTATTTTATATTTCGTTTCATGAATAAATCTTTATATATATTATATATTTTTTGCATCGTCTCTAAGAGGCTCCCGATGAGTAAATATCAATGATAGCATCATCGAAGATGAAACAATGTTTCAATATATCGTACGCTAGATGAATGGGATTATTTATCTAAAAAGTTCATTCAAAAATACAAAAGTTGATAAATAAACTTTATTCCGAAACGCAAAATTGAACATTTTTAGATGCATCTTTTAACCGTATGCACGGAAATCCCTACAGCTATCCTCCAAAAACAAACAAACAAAAAAAAAAGATTCTGAATTAAATATTTATAAAATTTTAATAACATTTTCTTAAGTTTATTTATTTTTGAAAATATAAAAAAAGAACTTTAACTTTTAAACTAGACAATTTAAACATTTATATTAAGTTTTGTTATGACTATGATCCATAAATAAATAATGCAGAGGCGTTGAAATCTATAACATTTACCTATTGGCTTCACTGCATTGCAATGGCTCGAATTTGTGGCATTCAAAGTGTAAATTTCCATGATTTTCTTAATATATGCAAATGATCTCTTTGCGTAGGAAAATTTTGATGATTTTTTCCATTAATTTTCCTCTTTATCATTTTATCAACCCGCGGAACTGACTATTGTTTGGACATTGTACGTTGGCGTGTGAAAGCAATTAGGGTCGGTCGGCCAGATAATTTCCTGACGCGGCTAGACAGCAGACTTATACCCTGTACATAACTTTGTCTGTCGAGACACGAGAAGACATTGACCCCTCTCTCGGTTTTTCTCTACTATACAACAGTCAAGGTTACTTTAATCGTCGCGCGTGGGCGGTAGCAACGAGGTTATACCAACGTCTTTTGTATAATATATATTTTGGTGTATATCTTCAAGACATTTTTGCTTTAGATATACCAAACTCGGTTATCCGATTCCGATTCTTGAGAGTCGGGAGTGATTTTGGGCGGTGGGGAGCTAATAGATAGGTTCAGAGAGCAGAGGTCACGACAGGAATGAACTGGGGGCGAAGACAAGTACCCCCTGGCTGAATGGTCGTCATTCAAGGGAACTATGTGGAAGTAAACGGGCGACTTTGAGGCACCGCTCCACCAACCCTATTCAACTTGTGGAATGTGGGAATGTCTAGTCCCGCTTTGTTGTTCCTTTGGTATGTATGACAGGTTCACTCGGTAGTCTTTCTCTTCTTGTGTGAGTGAAACGATCATCGATTCACACCTTTTCGTCAAAATATCTTTTTCTGTTGATCATCGAATTTCACTTGCAACCCCCACAAACACTAAGAAGAATTCACACGATAATTTTACATTAAAAAAATCATCAAATATGTACAACGCAGCAACTGATACAATGAGAACAAGTGTGTACAGACGGGCAAAGTTTTCATTTGTTCTTTAATTATCGAAATACCTCTACAAAGATTTCTAGTATTTAAATTCGAAAAGGAACCAATAAAAACATTTGTTACATATTAAATTTAGT